TTGTTGACATAATGAGGCAGTTTCTCACCATTCATAAACCACTACTGAAGGAAACGTTACCGGACCAATGCTTACTACCGAGTGTAATAAAATATCGGTTAGTGTTGAGTGTGTGTATAGTGTGGAGAAAGGAGGTATTGTGTATGGATTAGTTAGTCATTATCCGAAGGGGGGAGGGTGTGGGGGTAGGGCTGGGGGGGTGAGTGAGGGTAGAGGGGCCGGCGGGAGGACTGGCGAGGCGACTGGGGACGACTTCAGTTGTGTGTTGGCGGTGTGAGGAGAGGTGTGCGCTCAGCTGCTGGTCGGCGAGCATAAGTGTGTAGTGTGTGTGTGTGTGTTTGTCTGTCCTGGTATCTCTTGTGTTCCGTCCGTACCATAATGTCGACGGTTGTATCTTTTATCGACACTTGATATATTTACTGTCTATTAAAGGAAAATGGATTATCTGTGTACTGTAAAATCGTGTTGTGATAGCTGGTGTCTCTATCTTAACTACTGAGACGTGACTTTAAAAAAAAAAATCTTGATGTTTTTACAGTTTATTGAAGGAAAATGTATCACCTGGGTGTTACCTTGGTGTTACCTTGGTGTTACCTTGGTGTTACCTGTGCCCCGTGTAAGAGAGAGAGAGCGTCAAGTGCTTCAGCGTGAGTAGTGTTATTTGCCGTTTCTCACACTCGTGGCTATAGTGTGGGAATGTGTTGATGTGTGTTACAGTGTGTTGGTGTGTGTTACAGTGTGTTGGTGTGTGTTACAGTGCGTTGGTGTGTGTTAGAGTGTTACAGTGCGTTGGTGTGTGTTACAGTGTGTTGGTGTGTGTTACAGTGTGTTGGTGTGTGTTACAGTGTGTTGATGTGTGTTACAGTGTGTTGGTTTGTGTTACAGTGTGTTGGTGTGTGTTACAGTGTGTTGGTGTGTGTTACAGTGTGTTGGTTTGTGTTACAGTGTGTTGGAAGAAATAAATCACATCTCTAGCACAGTCTTAAGGAATTGAGGTGTTAAGTGGTGTGTTATGTCGCATGTTCACTATTCTCAGTTACTTCACACTTGTAGCTGCGATGATGGAATACACTTTGCTGTGGGTAGTGTGTTGAAGAAAGTGTGTTTGGTTAGGGTGTGTTGAAAGTAAGTGTGTTTGGTTAGAATGTTTTGAAGTGTGTTGTGGCTTACAGTGTATTGAAGTGTGTGGTGGGGAAGAGTGCGTTGAAGTAAGCATGTTGTGGGTTAGAGTGCGTTGAAATAAGTACGAGTGTATCACCAGTGGAGGTATTTCGTCGGTGTCAGGTGGTATCAGTTCCCTCACCCTTACACTCTTGACACATTCACTACTTCCGGTCCCCTTTGTCTTAGGTGTAGATGGTGACGTCAGACCCTTGTTTGGTGTAGAAATGATGACGTCATAGGTAGTTCCGTTCATCAGATGCTTTGTAACCTTAATTAATTTTTTACCTTTAATTATGATAGCCTTTCCGGTCATGATCCTTTGTACACCTTACTTACTAATGAAGAAATAATCCAGGTAAGGTTTTTTTTTAAGCCTTAAAGAAGTCAAAAGTAAGTTTTGTAGTTTATTGAATTATATTTATTTATATATAATTTTTTTTTGGGGGGGGGAATTGTACTGAATATTAGAATATTTTTTGTGGTATATTAAAGCTCGGTTGTGATTTAGTGTTTAGTGAAGGTAAGGTAATTGTTCTTCACTGTCCTCTGGTTGTAGTTGTGGTGATTGTTGTGGTTGTTATAGTTGTGGCGATTGTTATGGTTGTTGTTAAAGCAGTGAATCCGTGGTGGTTATTTCTTCCCTGTTATTATAATGTATATATTTTTACCTCCTCCTTTTAACCTTGCCTTTAATAGTTTTTTTTACCCTTTAAGTTGTAGTTTTAAGTAAAAGTTGTGATTCTAGGATGCAATTTTTTTGTACCAGGAAAAGTTGTAATTCAGAGATACAACTTCAATTCGTGTAACAAGTTGTAAATCACACGAGATTTTTCTTTACAGCGATAAGTTGTATTTCATAACCAAGAAGTTGTGTTTAATAGGAGAAAACAAGGTTGTAATTCAGTGATACAAGTGTTGTGTTAAACGTTCATACAGACACGTGTGTATCTTAAAGCTGCAGTCATTATCATCTGTACTCAAACACGTGTGTGTGTGTGTGTGTGTGTGTGTGTATGTATGTGTGAACAGCAGGAGGGCGCTAGGAGGCGAGTGATAAGTCGTGAAGGAACTGCTTGTTTTGGTTTCCCTCGTGGGGCGAACAGGGGTGGTGTGTGTGTGGGGGTGCCTGACGTGGCTGGGTTCCTCCTGCCGCACCTCTTCTCCACCCCATTCTCCCGCCTCCCTTCCTCCTCCTCCTCAACGACCTCCACCTCTTCTCCCCTCCCAACTTCCCTTCATTCCTTCCTCCTCTCTTCTCCTCACCACCTCTCTCTTGTCTTTCTCTCACCCTCGTTCTTGTACCTCCCCAAACTCACTCCCTGCCCCTCTCCACCCTCTCCCACCCCCTCACCACCCTCTCCCACCCCCTCACCACCTCTCATTTTTTGCAACCTCATATATGTGGGGCGGCGGTTACTCACACACACACTCACACACACCCTCAAACGGTACCGACGCGACGATTCCCAGAACTTATAAATAAGACTTAATAAGACTTAGAGAATAAACAAAGACCTCCTGACCGTAGATCATTGTTAAGCTGTTGGAGTTTCATGAACAGGGAGGGGAGGGGAGGGGAAGGGGTGATGTATAGAGGGAGTTTGTCATGAGTAATGGTATAGTTGTCATGAGTACAAGACTGTAGGTGACTCATAAAGCTCATGGACTCGTTAATGTCGTGTGTTAATTAGGAAAAGTACAGGTGAGATATAGGGGGGGGGTACAGGTGAGATACAGAGGTGAGATACAGAGGTGAGATACAGGGGTGAGTACGGTACAATATAATTACAGGTGCAAATGCAGGTACGTGTGTGTGCCGGACATTATCACTTACCGACATAAATGGTTTTTGATTTATAAAAAGGGACAATTTACGGCTAATGTAGACACCATTATGTATTTTTGTTTATGTATGTGTATGAATTAGTATCTGTATGTTAGTGTATATGTGTGTGTTGGGATAGTGTACATGGATTAATGTGTGCGCGTGTGTATACGTATATATGATTAATACTTATTTGAGTGGATGTGTGTGTATTACAAACGAGTGAATGTGTTCATGTGCGTATGATCCCCATGTGTTTTTTATACGTACACGAGTATTTACCTCATATCGTCAAGGCGTATTGCGTATTGCTTACAGGGTCTCACGCGGTAAACTGCTTCCTGGGAAAGAACCTTGAATCACCTGATAATTAGCCTCCCTCCCTCTTGGTTATTTCACCTGATAATTAGCCTCCCTCCCTCTTGGTTATTTCACCTGATAATTAGCCCCTATGTTACCTTGAAGGGCCAGGTGAGGTTAGGGTGTCTAATCTTGAGGTGATCGAAAGGTTTCCCCTACACTTTCTTTCCTCCCTCCTACCCCCGCGCCCGACTGGAAACCTCACTCTGTCTCGAAAGCCTCGACAAATGAGACACCCAAACTTAGCTGAGCTTGTTGGAGGTTGGAGGTAATCACCCTGGTCATTTGGAGGTAGGAGAGGGTGGGAGGGAATGGGGGTAGGCTGTGGTAAGGTGGGAGAGAGGGCGTGTGGTTAGGTGAGAGGGAGGGAGTGCGGTTAGGTAGGAGGGAAGGAAGAGACTAAATGGTCTTGAGGAGGGAGGGTAGACTGTGGTTAGCTGGGAGGGGGGGGGAAATGGCCTTGGGAGGGTGGGAGGGCAGTGGGGGGGAAGGGAGAGAAGACTTTGTGGCCTTCAGTGAGGTAGACAAGAGGAGGGGGTGGCTAGGGGTGAAGGAAAACACATATAGATAAGGAAGGAAGGGGAAGGAGGAGGAGGGGTGGAAGGGAAGATGAAAGTTGGTGAGTGTGTTGGTATTATGTAGGAGGAGGGAGAGTGTGTGTACGTTTGTGTGCGTGTATTTGACGGTGTATGTACGTTTGAGTGTGTATCTGGCAGTGTGTGTGGGAGTATGTGTGAATGGCAGCGTGTGTGTGTGTGTACGTGTGTCAGTGAGGAAGGTGAGAGGCAGTATAGTGTTACACCTGAGAGTCAGTACGTGTTATTAAGTCAATTAACTTCGTGTCGATACGGCCAGGTACAGTCTCAGCCCGGAAGTGACGCCATATCGGATCAGAATTTAAGAATGATTTTTTTTTTATGTTTTGTTGTGCGTTACCGTTTACCTGTTGCTGATGACTGTACCGTTTACCTGTTGTTGATGACTCTACCGTTTACCTGTTGTTGATGACTCTACCGTTTACCTGTTGTTGATGACTCTACCGTTTACCTGTTGTTGATGACTTTACCGTTTACCTGTTGATGATGACTCTACCGTTTACCTGTTGTTGATGACTTTACCGTTTACCTGTTGATCATAACTTTACCGTTTACCTGTTGATCATAACTTTACCGTTTACCTGTTGATGATGACTCTACCGTTTACCTGTTATTGATGGCGTTACCGTTTATCTGTTGATCATAACTTTACCGTTTACCTGTTGATCATAACTTTACCGTTTACCTGTTGATGATGACGACTTTACCGTTTACCTGTTGATCCTTTACCGTTTACCTGTTGATCATAACTTTACCGTTTACCTGTTGACCTGTTGATCATAACTTTACCGTTTACCTGTTGATCATAACTTTACCGTTTAGATCAGAAAAAAAAGAAAGAAAAAATAATATAAACCAGCAATAAAAACCAATCAAGTGAAACTAGAAAAAAAAACACAAACCTTTAATCAAAAATAAACCTGTAGCAAATATAAATAAAACAAGTGTAAAATATAAAACAAAAAACCTGATAAAACTAGTGAAGAAAAAACGTGTGTGATGGACTCAGTGAGGGAGGAGGTGGAGAGTGAGTGTGTTGTGTAAGGTTTTCTCCCCGAAGACACTCATGGTGGCTAAACAACAACACCAGGACTGTCTCTCAGGTAAGATGTGTCTTAATTAACCTGTATTTACCTGTGTGTTTTACCTGGGCTCTGTGTGGTAGGTGTGAGAGGGGGGGGTAGTTGGTACACGTGAAGATTAGCTCCCCCCACCAAAAGCTTATTTCACTTAATGATTAAAAACACCTTTGCAATACCTGGTGGTGTTAGGGGGTTAATCTCCAGGTGAAATAAGCTTATGGTGCTTAATATTCAGGTGAAATAAGCTTGGGATGTTATTCTTCAGGTGAAATAAGCTTGGGATGTTATTCTTCAGGTGAAATAAGCTTGGTATATTAATCTTCAGGTAAAATAAGCTTAGGAGATGAATCTTCAGGTGAAATAAGCTTGGGGTGATTAATCTAAAGGTAAGATAAGCTTAGGAGATGAATCTTCAGTTAAAATAAGCTTAGGAGATGAATCTTCAGGTGAAATAAGCTTGGGGTGATTAATCTAAAGGTAAGATAAGCTTAGGAGATGAATCTTCAGGTGAAATAAGTTTAGGGTGGTTAATCTTCAGGTGATTTCTTTGTTATAATGTCAAGTTTTATATTCAGTTGATTTAAGCTTAATTGTGGAAAATATATGTAATCTAACCTAACTCAATCCAATTTAACATAACCTACCTTAACCTAACCTAATTTAACAAGAACAGCGTCTCAGGTGAGTTGTATTACCTTACCTGTGTGTACCTGGTCCTGGAGGGGGGTTAATGGTCTCCAGCCTGACTTCACTTGGCGAAGGAATTGACATCAGTTGTAAAGGGAGTCAATCCTAATGGTTTGGTGACTTCATAGGTTAGGGGGTACGTCAGGTTATGGCTAGGTTAATGATAGGTTAGATTATGATTAACTTGGGGCATTTTTAGGTTAAGTTAAAAATACGTTAGGGTATAGTTTGGTTAGCTTTGGTTATGGTTAGGTTAGATTATGGTTAGGTTAGGGCAGAACTACGAGTTCCTTAGTTCGCATATCCTGTTCTTGTCTTGACCCAAAATAATCAGGATCTTCACTATTTCCACCTCCACCCTCTTACTAACCTCCATCCTCCTCCATCTCCTCCTTCCCATCTCCACCCCCTCCCTTATTTGCTTCCTCCTCCACACTCCCTCCCTCACTTGCACTCCTCCACCTCCCCCTTACCTACCTCTACTGAATCCAGGAAAAAAAGGTCAAGTAAAAAAGTCACAGAAAAAAGGCACGGAAGAAACCTAACCTAACCTAACCTACGTGCAATGCCATCATATATATATATATATATATATATATATATATATATATATATATATATATATATATATATATATATATATATATGCAAGTAAATCACTGTAGTTTCACGTGATCCAGGTATATGAAAACGTGGATAAGATAAATCTTGATAAAATCACACAGGGAAAAGGGAAACAATGGAGCACCTTAGCTTTTGTCTTTATTCAAGACATCTTCAGACACCACCAGTTGCCTCTGAAGATGTCTTGAATAAAGACAAAAGCTAAGGTGCTCCATTGTTTCCCTTTTCCCTGTGTGATTTTATCAATATATATATATATATATATATATATATATATATATATATATATATATATATATATATATATATATATATATATATATATTAGTTAATAATGCATGTCGTGTAATCTCTTATTTCCTGTGACTTTATTTCGGTTCCCCCTCCACCTCCCCCCCACCCCTTCCCTTACCCCCCTACCCCCTCCCTCCACCCCCTTCCCTTGACGCTGCACCCCCCTACCCCCTCCCTCCACCCCCTTCCCTTGACGCTGCAGATGTGTCAGTAAGCCCACACAGTTGTCGCAGTGTTTGTCCTGTGTGTGTGTGTGTGTCAGTCAGTCAGTCAGTCCGGACCATAAGTTTACCTGTAATCAAGTCTCACCCATCACACCTGGTCACAACTTTCCCGTGTGGTGAGGGATGACACCTATTGATTTTGAGGAAGGTCAAAGGTCAGAGGTCAAGGTTATTAAGTAGTGGTATACATTGCATGTATATTTTGTGGCTTGTATTAATATGGTAATTAATTGTGAAGGAAGTATATTGTATATTATGTGACAGATGATGTATGTAACTTACTGTAATTGTGTATTCTTTATGTATGGACTCGTGTGTATTCTCCTGTATCGTACGTTACAGTAAGTTGCTGTATGTTATACTCGTTGTCTACACTACTGCAACATAATCATGGCGTCATTATTGAATACAATGACGGATGTGATGTAATAACGAGCAGGTGGTTGAGTGTTGTGCTTCTTTATAGTGAATGAACCATGTGGTGGTGATGGTGATGGTGGTGGTGGTGATGATGATGATGATGATGATGATGATGATGATGATGATGATGGTGGGGGTCGTGGTGGTGGTGATGATGGTGGTGGTGGTGGTGATGATGGTGGTGATGATGATGATGGTGGGTGGGGGTCGTGGGTGGTGATGGTGGTGTGATGATGATGATGATGATGATGTGGTGGTGGGGGTCGTGGTGATGGTGATGATGGTGGTGGTGGTGGTGGTGATGGTGGTGATGATGATGGTGGTGGTGGTGTTGATGGTGATGGTGGTGGTGGGGTCGTGAGGTGGTGGAGGTGATGATGGTGGTGGTGATGATGGGGGTGGTGGTGATGGTGGGGGTGGTGGTGGTGATGATGATGATGGAATTGGTGGTGGTGATGATGATGGTGGTGATGGTGGGGGTGGTAGTGATGATGATGATGGTGGGGATGGTAGTGATGATGATGATGGTGGGGTGGTGGTGGTGATGATGATGTGGTGGGGTGGTGGTGATGATGGTGGGGGTGGTGGTGATGGTGATGTGGGTGGGGGTGGTGGTGATGGTGATGGGTGGTGTGGTGGTGAAGTGGTTGGGGTGGTGATGATGGTTGGGGTGGTGATGGTGGTGGTGATGATGATGATGATGGTGGTGGTGGTGGTGGTGGTGATGGTGGGGTGGTGGTGATGGTGATGATGATGGTGGTGGTGGTGATGATGGTTGGGGTGGTGATGATGGGGGTGGTGGTGGTGGTGATGATGTTTGGGGTGGTGGTGGTTGTGGTGATGATAGTGGTGGTGTTGGAGCTGTTACCACACACATGCACAGTGTTTATTTATACCGAATATGGTCACAAAACGTAGGGGAAGATGACGCCGTGTGTGTGTGAGAGACGCGGTGGTCCCTGGGAGGCAATGTGACCCCTGACCTGACCCTGTAAGGTGACACTGGCTCCCTGGGGGTTAACAAGGCACCACAGCCCTCACCATCACACCGCCCCCTTACCCCCAACCACCACCCCCAATCACCACCTGGGAAACACATTGTTCACATTGTTGGGGGTGGCCTCATGGTGTCTGATGCTTAGAACATAAGAATGGAGAAAACTGCAGCGGGCCAATTGGCCCATACTGGGCAGTCCCGTTTACACCCAACCCCTATCACTCATATATCCATTCAACCTATGTTTGAAGCTATCCAGCGTATTCGAGTTAATGATGATGTTTGGTAACTTGGTCCATTCATCCACTACTCTATTTTCAAACCAATGTTTGCCTATTTCGCGCCTAAATCTAAATTTGTCTTATTTAAAACCATCGTTACGAGTTCGCTCCTGCTTGGATAGTTTGAGTACCTTTGTAATGTCCCCTTTGTTTAACCCTGACTTCCATTTATACACATCTATCATATCGCCCCTCACTCTACGTCTCTCGAGGGAGTGCAAATTAAGATGCTTTAACCTGTCTCTGCACTCAAGGTTCCTAATGCCCGGGATTAGTCTTGTCATTCTCCTCTGTTGTGTGCCTGAGAGAGAGAGAGAGAGAGAGAGAGAGAGAGATCCATACACACGAGCATATAGCATAAAATTAATCTGTTCACATGCATACGTACAAATAAATGTATATGTATAAATTTATATCCTTGCATAAACAATAGACATCCTATACATATGCATAAGCATACATATAAAGCCCATTCTGGATTTTGAAATATACGATGCGGCAGTTAGCTCTATGCCTGCCATATTTGTCCTAATAAACCATATTCATAACTTATTTAATGGCCTGAATACGTCATCAAACACACGGTCATTAGCGACTTTAACTACAGTAATAAAGTCAAATGAGTCTTTATTTTTATTACAACTGATAATAAAATTCTCGTGTGTAATGTTGGCGTTTTACCCCGGCTTAAATTTGTCCTGAGAGCAAGCAAGCAAGCAAGCAAGCAAGCAAGCAAGCAAGCACGGTGTATTGAGAGAGAGCGAGCAGCACGGTGTATTGCTTTATGTAAGCTAATGTGTTTGGAAGTCATTCTCGACAAGTGCGTTTTGTTTTAATTTTGTTGAACCCGTGATTGTGAGAGTGAGAGAGAGAGAGAGAGGTCACACTCGCCACCCTCCCCTTCTCACTTACTTCATTGTCTTAATCCCTCCTCCCTCCCACACCCCCTCTCTCTCTACACACACACGCACACACACGCACACACACACACACACACACACAGTATTGGTATTAGTAATAAACCTTGAGGATTATGTTAGGCTGCAGGCAAGACGTGGACTCACTTATTTGTTCTGTTGATTTGAGACCTGGCGGGAGGAGGGGGGTGGTAGGAGGAGGTTGAAAGAGAGAGGAAGAAAAGTAGTGGTAGTTGTGGTAGTGGTGGTAGGTGAGTGTGGTGGTGGTAGTGGTGGTAGGTGAGTGTGGTGGTAGTGTTACCGAGGTGGTGTGGGTGTTGAGTGGATATGTGGTTGGGTGTGCTTGAGCTGGTTGATGTGGGTGGCTTGGTGGTGTGGATGAGTGGGTGGTATGGGTAGCTGGAAGAGAGAGAGAGAGAGAGAGAGAGACCCACAAATTATTAGACGCAGTAATGTATAAGAACATCCTTCACCGCCTCGGGTTGGTCTGTATTGAGATGAGAGTGGCCAGCTATGATGTACTGTATGTTGGTCATGTTGGGTCGCATAAGTGTAGGATATCGGGTCAAGATATCGG